CATGCCTGTAATCCCGGCACTTTGGGAGGTTGAGACAGGTGGATCACCTGAGGTCAGGAGTTCAAGACCAGCCTGGCCAACATGGTGAAACCCCATCTCTACAGTAAAAATACAAAAATAAGCCAGGCATGGTGATGGGCACGTGTAATCCCAGCTACTCGGGAGGCTGAGGTGGGAGAATTGTTTGAACCCAGGAGGCAGAGGTTGCAGTGAGCCGAGATTGCGCCATTGCACTCCACCCTGGGCGAAAAGAGCGAAACTCTGTCTCAAAAAAGAAAAAAAAAAAGTTAAATGGTGGCTTGTGGTAAAGGGGCCATGACTTTCACTATTGCTCACTGTTATTGTTGGGAAGGAATAATACAAAAGTATTCTATTGTGGTTCTATTTCTGCTCTACTGGGTTTTACTTTATTATTTCCCTTCTAAAAAAGTAACATTTAGATATGAACCCCTGCTTTACATATTCTCCGTATACACTCTGGCTCTGAATTTAATAAACATAATCTTTAAATGAAAAGGGCATAAGTAAATCAATGAGTAGCTCAATGTTATTATTCATCAACTTTGAAATGATTCCTCTACTGTCAACAGCTGACCAATGGATATGAAAGGCCATTAGTATGTGTCCTGAGGGTAAGGATTATGTGTTACTAATCTGTGATTACTCTGAAACAGACATAAGCACAGGGCTTGCCATATCTAATAAACTGAAATCAAAACTGAAAGTACCATATAAACAACAAACATAAGTATAAAAGATTACATTATTTTTCACAGTAAAAGTAATCCTGAGAATTTAAACCTGGCTGTTAAGGTACCACCTTCAAAGAAGGCTTCCATAAGAGTTAGTGAATCACATGTAACTTAGTAAAAGAGGAAAGAAGGAAGAAGGAACTGTAGGCTTACAATCTAGGGGACAAAGTAATTTGTGGTGGCTGTTGCATGACAAATTCCAAAGGATCTAAGACAGGAAATGTTACAAGTGGGAAATCTTGAACACTTTGACACTAAATAAAACTCTAAAAGATAAACATAACCTTTCATCTGGGCTAATGAAATATTCTGCTCATATGAGATTAGTAGGTACATATATGCCATCTTTTCATTAAAAATATAAATGGAGTAATTAAAAATAATTAGGTATATGTGTTATTATGAGAGGATGACCAAGCCGTACTACTAAGTGAAAAAATCAAGGTGTGAAAATAGTGTAAATGGTTTCTTTTTGTTAAAAAGATACTTTTTAAAAAAATTATTTTTTATTTTTATTTTGAGACATAGTCTCGCTTTGTCACCCAGGCTGGAGTGCAGTGGCATGATCTCGGCTCACTGCAGCCTCTGCCTCCTGAGTTCAAGCGGTTCTCCTGCCTCAGCCTCCCGAGTAGCTGGGATTACAGGTGCACTCCACCATGGTTGGCTAATTTTTGTATTTTTAGTAGAGATGGAGTTTCACCATGTTGGCCAGGCTGGTCTCGAACTCCTGACTTCAAATGATCCACCACCAAAAAAAAGAAAATTTTAATCTGCATATGCTGGCAGTAATGCATGACTCTTCCCTGGCCCCTCACCCCCACTCCCACTCCTTTTCCCCAGGAAGGAAACCAATGGTTCAGAGGAAATGGGATGAAGGTGGAAAAGGGAACTTTTACTTTGCATTTTGTTCCTTTCTGTACTATCTGGAAAATATATATATATATATATATATATATGAGAATTTCTTTTTTTTTTTTAAGATGGAGTTTTGCTCTTGTTGCCCAGGCTGGAGTGCAATGGTGTGATCTCGGTTCATGGCAACCTCCACCTCCGAGGTTCAAGTGATTGTCCTGCTGCAGTCTCTCAAATAGCTGGGATTACAGGCATGCGCCACCATGCGCCGCTAATTTTGTATTTTTAGTAGAGATGAGGTTTCTCCATGTTGGTCAGGCTGGTCTTGGACTCTCGATCTCAGGTGATCCGCCCGCCTCGGCCTCCCAAAGTGTTGGGATTATAGGCGTGAGCCACCGTACCTGGCCCGTGTATATATATATATATACACACACACAACTTTTACTTAAGATAATGTCCATCTGGTTGGTGGCATTGCGGATCAGTTTGATTTTTAAAAATTATCTGCAGTATTAGACTATTAATATAAGTTCCTAGGGACCATGTCAATGTTTGATTAATGTTGCTGCCCATGATGTTGCCTATCATAGTAGCTTTTTATATTGAGATACCCAATAAACTTTTATTCCATTGAAAAAAATTAATAATGTTATTTAAAATATTTTAAAAGTAAGTTTAAACAAGAGAAGCAGCTGAGTCCATTCTCTGAAGCAATGCTAGCAAGACCCAGGAGTTTATACTGCCTGGACAGTATGAGGATGGCTAATTTGCAATTTGTGCCCAGGAAAATGCAATTTATATCTACTTCCTTAATCAACAAATCTAATATGCACTAGAAATAATTTTCCAAAAGGTACAGATTTAGAAAATATCCGAGAATCAGTGTGATCTACCTTACCTAACCCCTCTGTAATCAATGCAGTACTTCCTTCTTCCAAACTTATCCTTCTCTGTCTTGCTTTGTGATACTGGAACTGGCCCTTATAAACATTTCTCCTTTGCCAAAATGCAGAATATTAAGCTTTGCCAGTAAAGATGCTGAAGGAACACTGCAGTAGGAAGTGGATTCTCTTCCTAGTTCTGGTGTACTTTCTCCTTCTTGCTACTGTGGTAGGCACCTACTGGTGGTGTGTGGGACTACAGTGGCAGTGCTCACTATCTATAAAGTTTCAGCGGTACCCCAGGTGGTAGCTTCCTATCAAGTTTCACTGGCACCCTAGAAGTTTCAGGGCCATCCTAATGGGTGGCTTCCTAGCAAGTCTTGCCAGCACTCCGGCAGGCAGTTTACTGCTTGCCAGTTCTGGTCTGTTGAAATTTTATGCCATCCAGTGGCCACAACACCTCTCCAACATGATCTGAATCAGCCTAGATCTGGGGAGGAGCTTTCTTCCAAGTCTGCTTCTTTGTTGGGTACTATGCCTGAGCTCTAGAGGCAGTAGTTGCTCCCTATATTCTATTCCTGTACTCTTAAGAATTCTCTTTACCTCTTAGTAGTTAATCCCCTATTACTACTTAATAACTCCCTATATTAAAATTTCTGGTCAGGTGTGGTGGCTCACCCCTGTAATCCCAGCACTTTGGGAGGCCAAGGTGGGCAGATAGCTCGAGTTTAGGAATTTGAGACCAGACTGGGCAACATGGTGAAACTCTGTCTCTACGAAAAATTACAAAAATCTGCTAGACGTGGTGGCTCACACTTGTAATCCCAGCACTTTGGGAGGCCAAGACAAGAGGATCATGAAGTCAAGAGATCAAGACCATCCTGGCCAACATGGTGAAACCCCGTCTCTACTAAAAATACAAAAATTAGCTGGGTGTGGTGGCACGCACCTGCAATTCCACCTACTCAGGAGGCTGAGGGAGGAGAATTGCTTGAACCTGCGAGGTGGAGGCTGCAGTGAGCTCAGATCGCACCACTGCACTCCAGCCTGGGCGACAGAGCAAGACTCCATCTCAAAAAATAAAACCAAAAAAAAAAAGATTAGCTGGGTGTGGTGGTGTGTGCCTGTAGTTTCAGCTACTTGGGAGGCTGAGACGGGAGGATCACTTGAGCCCAGGAGGCAGAGGTTGTAGGGAGCTAAGATTGTGCCACTGCACTACAGCCTGGGCAACAGAGTGAAACCCTGTCTCAAAAAAATAAAAATAGGCTGGGCACGGTGGCTCATGCCTGCAATCCCACCACTTTGGGAGGCCGAGATGGGTGGATCACCTGAGGTCAGGAGTTCGAGACCCGCCTGACCAACATGGTGAAACCTCATTTCTACTAAAAATACAAAAAATCAGCCAAGTGTGGTGGTGTATGCCTATAATCTCAGCCACTTGGGCAGCTGAGGAGAACCGCTTGAACATGGGAGGAGGAGGTTGCAGTGAGCCGAGATTGCGCCATTGCACTCTAGCCTGGGCAACAAGACCTAAAACTCCATCTCAATAAATTAATAATAAAAATAAAAATAAAAATAAAATAAAATTTCTCTGTTCAAATTACTGGTGTGGTTTCTGCTTCCTGATTGGACCTTAACTGATTCATCCCTAAACCAAAACAATCCAAAACAAACTCATCCAACAACAAACCATGCCAACCACAAAAAATCAAATCCAAGCCCACCACTAAAACATTAAGTATGTATGATTACTCTGCTAACAGAGAGAAACAGTATGGCAGTTACCAAACTTGTTACCTTATTGCTTCTTGAAGCTGACTGTGCATGTGGCTGAATAGTAAGTGAGCTGCTACCACAGAATTACTGTGCATTATTGCATATTTCAAAAGGACGTATTAAATGCATTGTTCCAAGTGTGGGTGGTTATCTAATGCTTTACAAGTCTTTCATGGGAAAAGAAATTTGCTGATTTTTGTCTGCCATAAGAATTAATCTATTTATGAAAAAGCATAGATATAACTGTAATAAGTGACAGAATTTTAAAAAATCACTTTGAACATTGCAGAAAATTCTCAGAAGGTTCACAGAAATTACCAGTAAAGTTAAACTCTAATTTCCGGCTTCAATGTCATTCATTCAATAAATATTTACTGAGTGGCCCTGGAACATAGCAGTAAAGAAGACAGACAATATTCCAGCTTCATGGAATTTACTTTCTATGATGGGGAAAAAACATGTAAACAAACCAATATGTAACATAAATTCAGATGTTTTAAAGTGTTATAAAGAAAATTAAGGAAAAGGATGTAATGGGTGTGGGTGCTATTTTAGGAGATGATTTAGTGTTCTATATTAAATTTCCTACACATAGCAATAAATGTTATAATAAATATAACCACAGATATATCTTAGGCATACTACTAAGAGGACAGGACTCATGTAGTTCCATAATAAATCAAACTGAATACATTTATGTAAATCGTAACAAGCTTATATATGGACCAATGAAACTTACCCTATAGAAAGCACTGGTCAAAGGGAGTAATGCTGCGGCAATGTTATATTCTTCTAAACTTGAACAATCCTTTAAGCAAAACAAAGACAAAAGAGCATTAGGATACTTTTACCAGAAATCACAAATATATGGGAACTAACATCTGGAATATACTGTTTACTGTCCTATGGGGTTTTTACCTTTTTATTTTTATTTTGCAGAGGACCTGACGGAGGGGTTTGTACTTTTATTCCAAACTGCCATTAAGGCATAGCTAGGTAAGTTTTGGGGTAAAAAACTGTGTGTGAAGCACATT